GGACTGAATTAGTTAGTGTTGATAAAGTTCAAAATAGGCATTATGATGGACGTCAGTCTCTGAAAAAGCCATCTTACAAAGACTAATACACTAGATGAAAGAACTAATCAACTAATTCTATTTTTCTAATGTTAAGTTGTTTTTCTATTGGTACTAGGGTCCATCAGGTATCACTTTTGTTTTCGACATAGAACTTTGCACATATGTGCGGCAGTTCAAGTCGCCACACTCCATGTAGCACACAAAGCAAGAGTAGAAAGTAGGAGAAATGCATAATATACACAGAAAACAGAGGTGTGAGACAAAGGAATAGTAATAACGAAGAACGAAACAGTTTCATTGGAAATCATAAGTCACAAGGAGTGGATGCATCTGCACTAGCCATTGAGAACGATTTTGAGCCATATCACCGATTATATCCAGCCTTCATTGGTTTTTACCATTCCAAGGACCCCAACCAGGAAGTCTACACCTTCCTACGTGGCTTAGACTAACTGTTGTAGATTTCATTGACTGGTGCCATGTTTTGGTTTGACCGCCGCTAGCTCTTTTTAGCCTGGCCCTATATCAGCTAACATTGTCCGTCGAGGAAGGCGATGACTAGGCATACGTAACACATGTCCTAACCATCTCAGTCGATGTAATTTCACAGTCTCGTCGACTGATTTCCCCTCCTTACCTAGCACTCGACCGATGCCTAACCTCAATATTGATCACCTTATTATACCACTTCACACGGGAGATAGAACTCAGACACCTATGATCAAAGATAGCTAATCAGGTATCACAGAGAAAGTTGGTAATTAAAGCTCATAGAATAATTCCTGCTAAAGAGTTTGTGACACTTTCTAACGAATAATGAGCTTATAGATTGTATTGAGTATAAATATGAAAGTGAAACGAAATAAATCCACTCTGTAATCTGAAATATCTTCATAGATTTTTGAATTCTGTTTAGGAGGATGCACAGTACTCAGTGTGTTCTGATAATAGCAGTTCTCATTGTTCTTATCCTCATTGGTGATCGCAGAAATGAGCTGATCTCTACAGCAGCATAACTTGATGATATTAGATGTTTGGAGGCAATCGGCCACAGGAAGCCTTGCCTGACCTAGGTGGTTTCGTGCTATTTGGCATTCACTCACCAGTCAGCAAGGCGGCGTATCTGCAACCTTCAAGGAATTCATGTCTCTTCTGAGATTTGAACCCTCATCATCCAGTGCTGCATGCAGTCAGTCAGAGACGTTACTACTGAGCTATTCGATCTGACGATTGACCTCCTGTAGGACTACTGTATTGGATACTTTGATTGGATACTAGCCAGTAACTAGTGTGATGTGTCTAGTCCTTTCTTTGGTGGTCACATTGCAAATACCTGTCTGATAGAACTCAGTGTGTGCACCAAAGAAAAGACTAGAGACACATGACACTAGTTACTGACTAGTGTCCAATCAAAATAACATAACTTATTAAAAGTTTCATTACTTTTGTAGACTATAACTAGTGGATGGTGTCAGTGCAGTGTATTGTGCTAGTGGTCACTTTGGATGTTGTAAGCAAACTCTGATCTACTCTGGTGTTCAGGTTATTTTCAGGTGTCACTTTTTTTTTATACAATACTAGGTCTGAAGTTACTCAATAAAATCAATATATTTTTTTTACTCTCTCTTATCTACGAATAGAGAGACTTGCTACAATAAACAGAGTATTCTAAGTAAGCTTTGAAAATAAACCCCTGCATTTGCAAATCTGGTGTCAGTAAGATAACACATGATTCTATGATATATTGTGTTAGTTATTCACTTTCTGAATTCTAGTCTGGCAGTAGTATCATGGGGAGGAAAAACAGGAGACAAGCTCAAATGGCAGTAGTACTAAGAAATCTAAAATATTAATCCGTCTCAATATAACCAATATTGGTAAATATTACATAAGGTATCCGTGGTTCAGGGGTAGAACACTTCCCTAGCCACACAAATGATCCGGACCTGGTAACATAACCTTCCATTGAAACTCCAAGGCTTAAGGCTTGAGGCTCCTCCATGTGTTCCACACACACCATTTGTAGAATATAGCAGTATACTTGTCATTGAAAAAAAACTTCATGATTATGTGGCTAATAATAAATAACCCCTTGGAGAAGTCAGGTTAACTGACAACTTCAAAATTGGTGGCGTCTTACTTATTTTCACATAATCGTAATAATGATAATAAGGTCTTGGGTAAGACCATCATTTACCCAAGTAATAATCGTAACTAGAATAGTATGTATATATAGCGAATAACCACATAATCATTCTTCTGAAATCCCATAGTAGTTATATTCCAAGCATTATGTGATAGGTTTTATTTACAAAAAATGGATAGATAGAACGAGATGTGAATATGCTTTTATAGTGTGTCATACACAATGAAAAGCCGGTGACTAACTAGATAGATGCTTGCAGTACACAGTAGTACAAATAGGTGATGAGTCATCATCCTTGCGTATTGCTTTTTCAGACCGTTAAATCACTTACCGATATATACATAGTATATATATTGTTTATTCTAACTGCCACTATCGAGTCAACTGCAAGGATTTTCAATGTATCACAATGCACAGTCTATTTAACCAATAAGCTATCATCTCATTCATACATGTCTGTACATGAAGACATTTTAGCGTGGGTGAGTAATTTTAATTGTTTAAACATGATGAAATACATTTGACCTTCTCTCTGTAGTTTTGGTGCATTGGCAAGTATATAAATGTAGATGTAGGGAGACGGAAATAACGACTTGGATATATAATATAAATATAATATATGTATTGCATGTATATCTTTCATAAAAAATATCTCTTATGAAATGACCTGAGCATCATATCATATCATCACAGTATGGGAAAATGTGACTAGAAATGAGAATGCTTCATTTACAGACACTACTTACTCACATCCTTTCGTTGTTATAATTTGTAAATACATATGTATATACATATCTAATTCATGTGGATATAATTACAAAGTATATGCCTTGCCATAGTCGATGTTATTTCTTTCACTGTGGATTTATGACTAAAAGGTAAGTGTTATTATGAATAACATAAAGTTACATTTTTTTTATCCTTCACGTTCCCCAGTGGAACATAGGGCTTCAAGCTAGTGGCTTGAAGTTTCTGTAGCAGTGTTTATTTTTACAGGATGGGTTGCTAGCCTCATGCCCAACCTTTCCTCTTCACCAGCATTATTTCTGGCTTAGGAGAAAGGAATTGTTAATAATTATAATAATCTATAAACACAACGTTATCCCTAACATAAATTACTATTAGTATGCTTTATATTTAACTAAAACTACTACTCTACTACTACTCAAGTACTACGGCGTACCCCAAATATTCATCAACCTTATTCAACAGCTGTACGACAACGGCACATGTCAAGTGATCCACAACGGAAAACTCAGTGAGGCGTTTGGAGTAAACACAGGAGTCAGACAAGGGGTGCTTATTATCACCAATGATATTCCTAATTGTGGTGGACTGGATTATGCGTCGTCAGACAGTGGGAAACGAGAAGACAGGGATATCCTGGACCGACGTGAAGAACCTAGAAGACCTGGATTTCGCGCGTGGATGATTTATGTTTGATGTCACACAAAATCGAAGACTTACAAGCGAAAACCGACAAACTGGTCGAAGAAGCAGCCAGAGAAGACAGGACTCCAGGTGAACATAGACAAGACAGAGGTTATGAAAATAACCAACCAACAACAGCAGCAACATCCAGTGCCAATCACCATCAACGGGAGGGATTTGAAAGAGGTTACTTCATTCACTTATCTTGGGAGCATTGTCTCAACTACAGGAGGAACGGACGAGGATGTCAAATCGAGAATCGGGAAGGCGAGAAACACATTCATCAACCTGAAACCAATCTGGAAATCTTCGTCACTCAGCCTGCATCAACAACAAAATATTCGGATTTTCAATACAAACGTCAAGTCAGTCAGTTCTTCTATACGGATGGATCAGAAACTTGGCGGGTCACAAAGAATATTTCCAACAGCCTGTTGCAGGGGACCTTTATCAACAACTGTCTTCGCTGGCTCTATACTGAAGATCAGATGGCCGGAAAGAATCACCAACAAGAAACTATGGGAACGAACAAAACAAGAACCAATCGCCGAACAAATATGCAGGAGAAAGTGGAGATGGATTGGACACTCGCTGAGGAGGCCGTTGGGTGACATCGCGCGTCAGGCCAGTGCTCGAGTGGAACCCGAAAGGGAAGCGGCGAGTGGTTCTTCGGTGCAAGGGTGACATGGAGGAGATCGTGTGAAGAGGAGTTGAAACAGTATGGACTAACATGGATGCAAGTGAAAAGTACAGCAGAAGACAGAAGCAAGTGGAGACGTGTAGTTGAAGCCCTATGTTCCACTAGGAACCCAAGGAAACAATAATAATAATAATATTTAACGAATGAAGTTATTCTCTTATTTATAAGTTCATTTTGTCTAACACACAGACCACTGTATAACATACATCTATGCTGTAAAGAACATTCAATGTATAACTCAAAGAAATCATCAAGAGATGGTTCAATGAATATTATTATATTATTCAATTAACTTGATATTAAGGCGAAATAAACACTGAATCACACACAATTGTTAATACTCCAAAAAATATCAGTTTCTTTTAATAGTAAAGAAGAAGAAGAAGAAAAAAATGATGAAATATTACATTTTGACAATCGTATAGAATTCCTAGCCATTTTCCTAGCCTTTTATTTAAACAAAAATATGTATGCTGTCCTTATTTGTAAGCCTAGATCGAGGGCCACACAGGCGAATAGAATAAACAGTAAATTAAATTATTAAGGATAGATAGATAGACAGACAGACATGCGTACCAATCCACTTCAATGGTAGGTTAGACAAACAACAACAACACACAGACACGATCAGAGCACGCTCAATGCGTGCAAAATAATAATATGATGAAGTAAATTCATCATTTTTTTACGCATGCCCACTGTGAAGTTAGATGATGAGCATGAATCACGAGGTAGGTGATTTTTCTGTTTGTCTTTTTTGTGTTTTGTTTCATGAATGATGTCATCCTTTTTTTTTACTTGAAAGTGTCTAAAAGTTCAAGGCACTCAGAATGGTTTTATTTCATATCTTCATTATATAAAAGTTGGTTATAAGGCAATATAATAGCGGCGAATAATAATAATAATATATTTAGGCGATGATGATTTTGATTTAGTTTAATTTTAGCGCCTTATGTATGGTTTGCGTATGCTTAAGGATAATGAGAATGTTCAGAAAATCTTGTTTGATTTCTTAACGTATGGATAATGAGAATATATTTTAGTTGAATGATAAGCAAACCTTCGACTTTTTTTCTAGTATCCTCTGTCATTACTTCATCTTGTCAACAGTTCCATTTTGTATTGTCTATGAATCCTTAAACATGGTTATTAGATTCATAAAAACTATAGGGTTCTGTTTTACTAATGCTACAATCTATTCCACATTAGATAATCACAGTCACATGGTTTAGTGATATATATATATATATATATATATATATATATATATATATATATTCAGGTAGTTAGGTCCTCCTTCATGGTTGTGAGAGAGACATGGCCACTGAAAATGGAAGATATGAAAAGGTTAGCTGTCATTGATCATAGGTGTCTGCGTTCTATCTCCTGTGTTAAATGGAATAATAAGGTGAGGTTAGGCGTCGAGTGCTAGGTAAGGAGGGGAAATCAATCGATGAGGCTGTGAAGTTACATCGACTGAGATGGTTAGGACATATGTTACGTATGTCTAGCCATCGCCTTCCTCGACAATGGGCAATGTTAGCTGACATAGGGTCAGGTTGGAAAAGAACCAGTGGTGGCCAAACCAAAACATGGCTTCATCAATCAGTCAATGAAATCCACAACAGTTAGTTTAAGCCGGCTAGCCAGCCACGTAGGGAGGTGTAGACTTCCTGACTGGTTGGGGTCCTCGGGATGGTAAAAACCAATGAAGGCTGGATATAATCGGTGATATGGCTCAAAATCGTTCTCAGTTGCTGGCACAGATGCATTCGCTCTTTGTGATTTATAGTATCCAATAAAACCTCTATGGTTCTTCCATATTACTATTCTTCTTCGGTCATTCACACTTCTGTTTATTATCTCTATTTTGGATCTCTTTTTACTCTCTTCTCTTGCTATGTGTACTATGTGGAGTGTGGCAACTCGAATTGCTGCACATCTGTGCAAAGTTCTACGTTGAAACCAGTCAAGCAGTTAGGTCAAATATCAAGTTTCCCTGCAATTTTATTCTACAATGTAAAAATCATTGTCATATATCTATAAAGTATGCAGAAAGGAAGTATTACGTATCCTACAACTCTGTTTCCCATGGAAATTAAAAGCCAATACGAATAACGTGTTTTGCAAGCATAAATTTAAGTTAAATTTTCTAAAAAAATATATATAAAACCGTGTTTTGTACCATCAAATTTTATGAAGTAATTACTCTGGATACTTGGTGCTGAATTAAGCAACTTACTAAGTACCAATAATTAACTGTACATTTTAACAGTCTATAAGATTAATTAATAATATCTACTGGGAATCGATATGAGGTATATGCATTCATTGGTCCATTTCGCATAAAAACAATACCTTTGACATATTTAGGTTAGTTGTATATTATTATTTGAACCACACCCCTAAACTCTATATATATAAGTCCAAAGTTTGTAGGTAAGTTTATTCACTATCGATTTAAGCAATTGGTACTATAAGGTGTACATTAGGTAGGTTTCATAACTTCTAACAGATAGTATGGAGCGCATTGTGCGTCGGTAGCACAGTGGTCAGGACTCTCGCCGATCATGCACATGGTCCGGGGTTCGATCCCCTGCCGATGCACACCCGATATCTATGGTCGGCCTGCAAAATTTGGGCTACCGATATCCATGCTGAAAATTCCATACTTGTACTGAAAATACGGTGTGGCATCAAGCTGTAATCAAAATTAAAATTAATTAAATTAATTAAAATTAAATTAAAAATTACTAATTACTTGGATGACCATACATCTAGTTGACATTTTCTTACATGTATAATATGTGTGTTTACCAACAAGTAGATTTCAATTCTTTTCTAGAATCTCTGTTTGTAACAGTTTAACTGTGTAGTGTTATTACGGCGACCACTACTACTACTACTACTATTGATTCCACTGTGGGTGAAATTTATTTTGATAACGTCTCGCAGTAATATTTACTGATGACGTTTCGAGCATAATTTATTGCTCATAATCATATCATGATGTGAGATGATGAGTCTTTCAGTTATGTTTAAATTGGATTTTTAAATAACATATTCCTCTTCTGCCAATGAATAACGTCATTGTCTACATCTTAATCCATAGGCAAGGTTGACTATTTCGACTATATGAACGTTTTTTTTGCTTGTTTACCTAAGTGTCTCGACAATTCGCTAAATTGCATACTACTAGGCGTTGGATACTAGTTACTCCACATAGTACGTCTGAGAGAGAGTGTGTGTGTATAGACTTCGGTCTTCCACTCGAAATGCTCCCATGTGGCCATAACCGGACTGGTGAACATAAAGATCTACCTACCTAGGGGAGATAAAAAAACACAACCTGATTCCAGAATCCGAAAGGATTGAATGATGTATGCGCCTGTTTTGGATGCATACAACCATGGGAAACTTAGCTCCTCTGACTATGCTCCATTGCTTTTTGTGAATCAGACAGACTTCAAAGGGTGGCCACGTCAAGAAAACCACCTGCTACTGTCTGGAAGTCGGGGGCAATATTTGAGCCATTGCACAAAGTATGAGATTTTGGGAGGTTCATCCCTTGGTGCTCATGGTATATCAAGTTTGAGTCTTAACAACAACAATAATAATATTTGGTTGATAATCAGTAGGAGGTCTTTCTAACCAGTATCATGAAACTAAAATCATAGCTTCATTTTTTTCCACGTATAATTTACTTGACCTTGTTTACTAACTAATGTACACAATGAAATAGACTTCTCTAGTGGTTTTTAACAATTATATAACAATTAAATATTGATAAATATTGTAATAAGGGTCAGAACATGTTAAGTAGTGTATTAGCAGTGTGTGTGTGTGTGTATTACCCTGGATTGCGTAATGACGTAAATTGATCATTGGTTTACCTTTTTTCTTTCTCATTGGTGGTTAGTGTATACTGCACACATAACTTTATACATTCACTCATTTATTCATTCATTTAGTTTTTCGTACTCGTTCAATTTTGAATAGTAAAAATTGTTTAAAAGGTGATTGTGAATACGCGGATGTGTAATAGAGACAGTAATGTACACACATATATATGCATAAATGAAAAGGAATACTTTATACCGTGACAGATATTCTGTCAGTTAACATTTGTAATGGACAAAGATACCGAAAGGATTGACTGAAAACGGATCTTAATAAAACCCTACTCCACTGACTTTTCTATCTGTTAAACTCTAGTCTCAGTATGGATATAGTCTACAGTTCAGTTTGTAATTGTTGCAAGCCATTATGGCGAATTTTCCTTCCCCCCAATTCAGTAAGTGGTCAGTGGATGTTGATGCGTTGTACATGTTGTTGAATAACATTGTTTCATCCTTAAAATACTATTCTATAAATGATTATTTTTTATTATTCCTTTGGGTTGCGAGGGGGGGGCCATAGGCGTACAGCAGCACGTTTCCGTTTTGTCCTGTTCTCTGCGGTCGTCTTCAGTTGGCCTAACGATTGCCAATAAGTGCATTCACCCCCCTCATACGATCTTCTCAATGTTTACCCTTGGCTACACGCCCAACTCATTGTTTCCCGCTGGGGTTCCACTCCAGTGATGACCTGAAGTGTGCGATGTCAGTCACTTGACAGTCTCCTCAGCGTGTGTCCTGATCCATCTCCATTTTCTTCTGCATATTTATTGAACAATAGTTATAAGAATCCTAATTTATTTTCATTTTATTCACTTGCATTCCGTTTCGAATATAGGGCTTCAAACCTTGAGCTTCGAAGTTTCAGTAGCACTGGTATTATTCTCTTTTACGAGGTAGGTGGGTTTGCTAGTTTCACGCCCAACCTTCCCTCTCTCTATATCAGGTTTGCTACCAGTTGAGTAAGGCTTAGGACTGCGTTGGCTGTGGATCGAACCCCAGACCATGTTCGTGGTTGGCGAGCGTTCTACCCCTAAACCACTGAACTTTAAGTTTCACCCCATTATACATCTTAGTATGCATTCTCATGGGTATAGTTAAGCTTGTGTACATCCTGTTTTTGACTTATTACTTTCTAATCTGATCGTGTGCTGATGATGAGTGTGATCACTAAGATGTTGAAGTACTCCAAATATTTCCAGAGTTATTTGACTTATGACAAAACCTACCAAATGTGAATCATGTGAATATAGTCCACTTGTTCATTATTGTTCTATCCAGAGTTTGTAGTAAAGACTGAATGTGAATCAAAGACACACTTGTCAGTGTGAATTAGTTTAAACCGTGTAGGCCTGCAGTGAAGCAGTAACATCATATGCGTCAATAGGGAAAGATTCCATACTAAAATCTGCACTGAAGACGTTGTCTAGAAAGATGGAGAAAGCTTTGCAGTTAAATCAACCAGCTTAGAGAACACAACTAATTCAAAAAGTTGAAGTGCTGATTAAGAAATCAAGAGATTATTTAGCCATTATCATACAAATTATTAAACTGTGTGAAAAGTACTTTGAACTATTACTAAAAGTGTTATTAAAGCCTAAATGATCTAACTTTATTATTCTCTATGTTGAATGAATGAATGAGATGCAGGAGCAGTTTTTCGGTTTCCGTTTCATAAACTGATATGCTCACAGCAGTGATGACCTGAAATGATTTAAGCCTTCTAATGAATTCGGCATCAGATCACGTTCGTCTGGTTGATCAGATTTTCAAACTGCACTTAACCATGCAATGTCTTCGCATTTGATTGATAGATCCAAAATCTTTAGCCATAT